ACGCACACCCACACCCACACTCACACACCCACACCCACACCCACACCCACACCCACACCCACACCCACACCCACCAACGCTCACACCCACACCCACACCCACACCCCACACCCCACACCCTCTTGTCTCTTCATCATCAAAACAATAAAGAGGAACTTGTGACAGAATAATAAGAAAAATATTCTCTTCAGCATGTTGAATGTAAATAAAAACGCGAAGAAACAGAACAGAAAGTAAACGTAAATGGTTTGTGCATAAAAGAAATTTAGTAACTTGGTAAAAGCCAAGTTCTGTTCGAGGAAAACAATAATTATACAATTGGATTTTTTCCAGCCTTCGTAAAATAAAATTATATTGTTTTCTTTTTCTTTTTTCATGCATTTGTAACCTTTTAGACATGTATGAAATCTTTTTAATAGTTCGGTACCATTACTTTATTTTTTAGAGTGTGTATTGCGACAGAAATATCTATGTCATGCGTATTTTATAGTACTTCATATATTTATTTCAGAAATCATGTCATCATTTGAACCAGTTGTATTGATATATGGATCGCCCGCAGATATTCTTCATGCTACATTAAGTTTACCTGTACCATCCCTATTTGCATTTGATCTTAAATCACTTGAAAATATTGTTAATCTTTCACCACAAATGAACCAATTATATCTCCACCGATATTTTCTTGTATTACTTCAATCAATTGATGATACTATTTTTCATCAATTACAATCAAATCATCGTATTATCAGAATATACAAAAAACAAAACTCGATCGAGCAGAATTTCAAAGAATTAAATCAAATGGCAAATTCATTTAAACAATTAACACTGGATATTACAAATGATATTATTCAATTTTTAACACATGAAGGTGAAAAACAATTGAAATTAGAAAGAATATCTTTAGTAAAAATTTATTATCAACAAGCTCGTATACTAAAAGAATGGATGATGACATTTTTTAAAGTTAAATTCAACTTTTTATTATTAATATCTTTCTAAATATTATTTTATTATAGGCTGAACCATGTCATATTCTTCTTATATCTTTGAATAGTACACAAGAAAATCTTGATAATACTCAACAAGGATTACAAACAATATGTAAGTAGAAGCCAGAGATGTCCATAACGGCAGTCTATTTTTCTTTACCGGCGCGCTAGCAGCAGCTTCTATAATTTTTTTTTAAACTCATGAATTTTGATGTCGATGCATGCTGAACTGTAAGATTTGATTAATTTGATCGATTAGTAGCAGCAGATTCAGCTTAAAGCACTTAGAATCTTGAAAAAATAGCGATTTCAAAAAAATACTATCGCGGCGGCGGTACATTCTCACCCGTAATGGACATCCCTGGTAGAAACAAATGCTTTTCGATGAAATGTACAGATTTTTGAAATTAGGTGAGAATCTTGGATATAATTCACCAATAATTCGTCAATTTCATGATTATCTTCCATCAGATGAAAGACATTCATCCTTATTACCATATTCAAAATTATTATTCAACAATGAAAATCCCGAGAACATTTGTCGAATGATTAAAGATCTTTCTCCAATACGATTATATCTATATGGAAATGAACTAAAAATTCCAAGTGAATGGAGTAATTTAATGATTGAAAATGAAAAAGAATTAATTGATGATGAAGAGAACTGGATTTGTTTTATTGAAAATGATTTTATTAGCAATGAAATCAAATGGAATTTTTCATTTTTATTTGGAAAAAAATGGCAAATCTCTCGTGTAACACCACTCGATTTAAATCAATTAAATAATGACCCTCGATTTGTATCAGCACTTCGTCGATCATTTCTAACATATTCTCAACGACAAATTCAAGTAACTGCTGATATATTTGATTGGTATGAAGATTGTGTCAAAAAAGAGTACATTAAATTAGAAGTAAAATCATTCGATTATCTTTCATTTGATCAATATTAATTCGATTTCTTTTCTTAGCCAAAATTAAATAAAGAACAAATAATACTGAAATCGAAACGTCGTTATTACCGAGTAGAATTAATTAAAGCACGATGTGTTTTCTCAAATCTGTGTTCATTTGAATATTTGACAGTTGATAATGAAAAATCGACTTCAATAACATTTATATGGTTAGATGAACTAATTAATGATTCGACTGAACAATTTAAGAAAATAATCGAACCATTTCAATGGAATTTTGTTAATAATATCTCATCCTGTGTGTCATTGATTGAAAAACAACTTCGTCAGAAATCGAATATATTCTTAATTGTATCTGGAAAATTTGGTGAAGAATTATTTTTAACAACATTTTTTTTAATACAACAAGTCTTTTCGATCTATATATATTGTGCTCAAATTGAATCGAATTTAAAATGGAGTAAAGGATATTTACAGATCAAAGGTGTTTATGATAATTTAAATCAACTTGAACGACGTATTGAAAAAGATTATCAACAATTTCAAGATTCTTTATCTGATAAAAATTATCGAATAGTTCATCAGAATGATAATCAGGTATTTCAATATGAAACTTTACTAATTTCCATTTCAGAGATAGATGATCGCGGGTATTTTTCGGATAAATTTTGTTAGTAACTCAATAGACACTTGCGATTTTTATTACCGAAAAGAGTAGATGAAAATTAATGCATCGAATCATACATAGAAGGAGTTTTCTAATGACCTTATCCGAAAATCTCATGCGATATCTCAAGAAAAACAGTGTGTTTCTCATGATTGCGATGATAATCTATGGGTTTGCAGGAGGGAGCTAGAACCGCAAAATGAATAGCTTCAGAAGATTTGGAGCATATAACGTTTAATTGAGAAAGTCTTAAACAAGAATCACTCTAAGTGCATCTCAGGTCGATGATTCTGAAAGCAGTATTTCCCTAGTTTTCTGGCGAAAGCCTGCCATTTTCGGGCTGGAAATCACTGGAAATGCTCGAAATCAGACGGAACAAATTGATGACCGTGTCCGGTTATCGGTTCCAGGCAACAATTAGTAAATCCGGGCACTGGATCCGCTTCCTGGAACACTGCTTCGATGAAATGTTCAGAATACTACGTAACCATTCGTTTCCATGCCGGGTTGTTTGACCTGATATAGGTTTCGACATGCGTTTTTCTGTTCTTTCCATTGGTAAAAATTGCAGTTCTCCATCTCTTCATTTTATCAGATAAACCAAAGTGTCGAATATATACAGTACTGCTATAAAGTGCCTTTTTACTTTTGTGCGATACGAACGAAGAAAAAACTGATATAATGTATCTTCTTCATTGAAACATCTTCTAAGTTTGGTAAAAAAGGAACATTTAAGAAAGAATTGAGCTCAAGATTTTTGACATATTCCATCCGTATCTTTGTCTTTTATTTAGTTATTTAATCAGTTGGAAGATAGTGAAAGTGTATATTCAATTGCACTAACTGTATATAATAAGGAACAAGCGAGTTTATTTTGGGGAAATCAAAGAACAATTGATACACTTCTGAGTATGCCGCATTCATTTGAATCAAAAAAAGAAATGATGGAAGAATTTCGTCGAATCTATAAAAATAATCGAAGAATTCTCGATGAAATTAATTTATTTGACAGTAGTTATGATGATTTATTGAAGAATAGTCATGTTAATGAAGCATCAATACAATGGTACACAAAAGATTGTTTCGTATCGAAAACAATAAATAAAATTCTTCGATCAAATGATGTTGACCGAATGTTTAAATTTCGTCATATTCTTACTGATATTTATCAACATTTAAATATGTCATATAAACAAAACCATTCATGGAATTCTAGTTCATCAAATGAAATATTTTATCGTGGTCAATTAATCACAAACGAAGATTTTGATTATTTGAAACAAATACGAGGATCTATTATATCAATGAACACATTTTTATCAACAACAAAATCAATACAAGTTGCTCTGATGTATGCAGGAAGATATCTCAATAATAAAGATATGGCATCAGTTGTATTCATTATTGAAAAAGATCCATGGCTTAATACGCGTCCATTTGCAAATATTTCACATTATTCATTGTTTCCAGATGAAGAGGAAACATTATTTTCGATGGGGTGCATCTTTAAAATAGGAAATATACGTCAATTAACAGGTGAAGATAATATTTGGACTATTCATTTAAAAATGCTCCAGCACGATCATTATTTAATCAACGAAATCAATTGAACAATTTTTTCACATATAAAATCTACGAGAATGCCATTAATATAAACAAGAATTTTTCATTTTCAAATAAAATAATATTAATTATATTTATCAAGTATACGACTTCCCAGGTCGACCAATCCGACAGTCGGATTCGATCGGTGTCCTATTGGAATCCGACAAGAAAATGTCCAATCCCACAGGATTCCTGATGGGTGTGGGTGCGGATGAGAGTGTGGGAAGTCGTATACTTGATAAATATAATTAATATTATTTTATTTGAAAATGAAAAATTCTTGTTTATA